TATTATACGTATTGATCATCAATATTAATTATAAACTCTATCTGACTTCAAGAATATTAAATATAATTTATTGAAAGAATATCGATTAAATTTTTAGTGTATTTTCTAATAAAAATCGCTAATTTGATTTCGAAAATATCGGAATGCAATTACTCTATTATTTTAAAATTTTTGCAGAATGCTATAATAATAAAAATCTTTTCTCATTTATTTTACTACATATATATCTTTTATCTCAAAACTATGAGATTAAAATTAATCCTAGGTTACTATCTTTGCAGAAACATGATTTTTCCGGCTGTATAAAAATTCTCTTTTACTTTAGCTTTTACAATTTTTTTTCCTATTTATGATTCCAAAATGAAACTTATATAGCTCGCTTAAGTAGGTTCTGATGTTTCGATTAAAAAAGAAGGTAAAAAAATACTTATGTTTGCCTGAGATATGAACAGATAAATGTGCTCCGGGTCTCTCAGACTCATGGTACTAACGATATAGATAAAAAATAATTATAGTAACTTAGAGTTAAAAACGAATGTCAACTTTACGCGGCAAATTAATGGAAACATACGTGAACGTACATGACTTGAGTGGCCAAGTATTCATTTCGAGACACGGATTTCAATTGATTCTGTATGTAAGGGCTCCTGCGAAAGGAGCCACCTTGTATGGATGTGGAGGGCGCGTGTGCAATATGTATCTTCGTAGAGGATGTAGGAAGGAATGTATACAGGTGAATTCTCTATGGATACAAGGGTTATAGAGGGTAAGGTCCCGCAAGCGATATTAGGTGGAAGGGGCATCTGTTCGCTATGGCCATGTATGTAAGCCGTTAGTGCCAATATAGTGTCTATATATCGCTCCGTCCGACATAACGTTTCAGGGTGTATTATATATTGTCCGTAATCGAAGATCTCTCTTAAGACCTCTCCACTTGATAGGAATCCCGAAAGGAACCCGAAATATTGATACTCCCGAACGACAAAGTGCCTCGTAGGGAAAATCTTTTCGTACCCGTCGTAAAAATGCAAACATAATCGATAAGAGTGTACTGTACCCAAATGCGGTACAGTAGTCGAAGATTGCAAATAAAAACGCGGCGATACGTAACGTGCAAACGCGAAGGAATATTAAAAATTGATGAAGTAAAACCTCGGATGGTGTAAAACGTAAATGATAAATGAAGGAAGTTTCTCAAATTATAAGAAGCTTAGCCGTCGAGATACTTAAAGTTGCGAAAAGATATCAGACGTTTAATTTTCCACTAGAAAAGAAAATTGATTCCAACTTCGTCGAGGGAAGACTATTTGAGGGAAAGCGCGTCTCCGAGATCGTTTCGTATACGATCTCACGAATGAATATGTTGGGGAAATCGTTAGCCATACATGTAACTATTAACCGGTAACATCGATCGCGGCGGAACCAAACTTCATTAATAAAGCGCACCGATCGAGGAGCTCTTAATTAATTCCGCCGGGGCGAAAGTTTCACAGTTACGAGGGGGCGCGCAACGAGCGAGACGGTTTTCTTAATTGAGAAAAATGATTTAATTTCTTCGCGATATCGTTTGCGGCGGCGGCGGCGGCGGAGGACGAGCAGAAGGAGAACGTCGATCTCGGGGTTGGCCGAGACGGGATAACTCGAGAGTGAAAAGAGGTAGTGGAAGGCAGACCGAGACTCTCATCAAATATGAATGGTCGGGGTGGATGGATGGATAAAGATGGGGGGAGAAGTACGGTGAGCATGAAATATTTCCCGGTCCGGGAGTGCATCGCGGCTTTCACTCGCCTAGGAACACCTCGCGTAGGAGCGGAAAACTTCTAGATGGGTATCAACCGAGTTCCGAGGAGTTCCAGGCTCCCAATTCTACGTAACACCCCGTGACTCGTGGTGTTTCAGCGACGCTTGTAGCCACCGTGATGTCGGTTTTTACACGTCGTAATGGATACGTATTGCCGAAAACTGCATTTACCTTTTTCGCGATGTGCGCATAATACACATGAAATTCCACGGGAAGGTAGAAACCAGATGGAGAAATAAAATTTACAAATCTACTTAATTCGCCGAGACACACTTTAATTTTCAGTTTTGATTAGCAATTTAATTATTAACGCAGCGTTATTAAAATATTACTCTTTGAAATTTGTCCCCGTATAGCATCTGTGAAAGAAGTTCCAGTTCAAATAGTTCCAGGGCACTTTGTATGACGCTGTAAAATATCGTCGCGTAATTTATGTCATCTCCGGTTGTTCTGTTGAACGTGTCGTTTCCACCAGCGTTGTATTCACGTCGCGACTATTGTGTTAAAAAATACAAGAGTATCTTAGTTTCGAATATTTTCTTCCAGTCCTCCCATTTTCTTTGCACGCGGTATGAAAAGCGCGAAATGTAACAAGTGTATACTTCATTCGTTTCATTTCATGTCCTAAAAGATGACACATTTTAAAACCATCAAAAATACTTCGGATAAAATTTGTATAATCATGCATATCAGTTAATATTCAAAATGTTGTACTATTAAAATTGGTGCCACTAAAATAGGTTTAAGTTTAAACTGCGCGAAAATATAGTACACGGCGATAGGCATTACGTTTTATGCAGTTTGATTTATCTGGTCAATCCGTTTATGCCATCCATCTTTCACACATAAAATTTCATATACATTGCGTCACAAGATTATGTCCTTACGCTCTCACGGAGTGCACGGAGTAGATGAAATTGTCGCGCATAAGTCGTATATTTATGTGCCACAGCTACTCGATTCGCGGACTCATCGACGAATTTTACATCCGACTTTTTGGAGATATGTCAGTTATTCACATCGATTCCCGAACTTCTCGCCGTGAATCGAAATCCTCATAAATCGTCGATCGCAGCGGCCGCGCGCAATAATTAACGCGCCCGAACTCCTAATTGATTGTCTCGCTGATTTACCGAGTCGCACAATTAATCGGACATGAGTTATCGGTGTGAGTATCGGCCGATAAACGAGAGTTTAATTACCGCTACTAATTACGACTTACGACAGATGAAGAAGGGAGAAAGAGGGAGAGAGCGACATACTAGCCCGATAAGTTTTCGGCGCGAATCGGCAAATCGAGCGGTATTAACGGGACTGAAGGATGCCTGGAGAAAAAGAGAGAAACAGAGAAAAGAAGAGCCGGAGAAAAACCGGATGGGAGATCAAATGAGAGAATCACTGTGAGAAGATGGGACGTGGGACGGGGATGGGAGAGCGGTAAGGGATTGTCGATCGTACAAGGAATGGAAGCGGAATAAAACGGAAAAGATAGCAGAAAGAGAAAGAAAGAAAAACAGAAAGAGAGATAAAGAAGGAGGCAGAGAGAGAGAGAGAGAGAGAGAGAGAGAGAGAGAGAAAGGGAGAGAGGAGAGGAAAGGAGAGAATTGGAAGGGTGACAAGGGATGGGAAAGAAGTGGCAGAGACTTACATTTCCCACGGGGTATCCCTGCTGCTCTCGGGCTCCTTACTTACGGATTGATACTCAATTTCCACCGAGTTTAGCCCCCATCGAGGGATCATTGCGCCAGATCGCGGGAGCTCCTTTCGATTTCGAATAAATTCGATAATGGCGAATAGGTAGATGCAGTTGGGCGGGGGCGCGAGAGGAGGATACGAGGGTTGGAGAGTCTCGCAATCGTTTTTGCCTTAATCGAGCGGACTAGGCGCCAGCTAAGCGTCCACGAATCCCAATGCCATTGTTGCATCCGCTCGAATACGTAGGAATGACGATTCGCAGGAGCGAAAACGCCAGTATTAGGCGATAAAGTGGATTGAAAGGATTCATGCGAATCTGTGGTCTCATGCGCGTAACTCGAATCGGGTGTGTTACAAGATTTTTCAAATTTCAAATGAACAATGCACCTCACAATCATCTTGTATAATACAATCAATTGTATAAATTTATACAATGAGATGCATTCTTCCAGTTTCCAATTTTAAATAAATTATACTGATAATGGAATAAAACAATTAATTTATTTGTTGCTGAGATGTTTAATGTTAAATACATAATTAACAAAAGAATCTCATTGTCAGCTAAAATTCATAATATCAAAATTAACACGTTACACACGATATATACGTATGAATTCTTGTTCGATCTGAAATCGCCAAACGTGTCCCACTAACTTAGGAAAGTCGTATCCTTTCGAGCGCCAGGACGCGCGCGACACAGACATTTACATCGAAACGATCTTTACATTACAGCCATTATCGCAATCAAGAAGTTGGTACGGGCCGCGTTTCTCCGGGATTGCGAAGAGCGAAGGAGAACGCTCGAACGCCGCCCCGACTTACTTACTAATGAACCCCGGTCGATTCCGGGGACGGGTAATTGTAACGCGTCCGAATTAAGTCCGGAGGAAGAAGAAGTATGAAGTGCAAACGACAATTTTCCACGACGAATATAGCAACGACGGCGCCGATGTAACAGTTCCGGCAATTACAGCGAATTAACCACATTATATTAACCACACTTCGCGCCTCGCATTAGTCGCATTCTCCTCGTCGCCGTCCTCAAAGTGATGTACCCCGATCGCACACCGCGCTTCGTACGATCCGACACCCTCGTCGAGGCCTGTTATTCGGGCTCAGGAACTCGTGCGAAACTAATTCCAAGCCGCAAGACGGAAGACGACTTTAATGACTGTCGAAAGTTACACACGTCCTTATGCAGATCAAACTTGGCGGAGACTCTAATCGGAAGGAATCATTCTGGACCGGAGTGCGTTTCGGCGTTTTCATAGTGCGCGACGTATATTATTTCTCATATTCTCTACATATTTATCAAGGGACTTACAAGACGTATGAAATTCTCGGATAGGCGAAATGTATAGCTATCACATTTCTGCCTTCTCAATTTTTTTTTTATTAAAGGAATTATGAACAATGGTAGTGAACGTATGATCTCATAATAATGATTAACGATTCGTACGATAATAAGATCTCACTAATTTATGGAATATAATAATTAACTTACGGAACTAAATCCCATGACTTTAAGAAGCCAGACGGTGAGGGCGAGGTTGAGAATGACGATGACCATAAGGGTTAACACGAGAGAATAAAGACATTTTTTCCTCCAGCCGTAGACCCCTAATCTGAAGCCACTTTTACATGGCGTGGTACCGGAAGCGCGCTCCTCCAAGATAGAAGATGCCGTTCTCGAAGATGATCCCGCTGTTTGCCGTGCTCCACCGCGCCGACTTGCACTACTAGAAGTGCAGGGCTCGTCGGACCACCCTCCTTGGCCCCTGGACATCCTAAAAAATAAAAAAATAATCTAGGTTTAACATCGAGATGTACATCGAAAAATTTGTGTTCTTAACACTTCTGATTTTTCTCTAAAAAGGATTAATAATTAAATTAAATAAGTAATTAATTTACGCTGATCTGACTTTTGGAAGAAAAATTGATTTAGGATCCCCCGCAATTATAAGAAATTATATGACAAGTGAATGTAACCTCTCGACGAATTAATTGAAAGCAATCTGTTTTTCCGATTAAGCAATTGAGAATTTATTCTGGATACTTTGTTTTTCACTCTCTCCCTATGAATACCTTTATGAACGTTTTCGTGCTACAAGCGATTTCACGCCGTAAATTGGCAGATTACGGTTACGAGATACAAACGAGATGCGTGTTATAGCTACAGGTCGTTACACCGTGCAGTTGCGAGCCATTAATAAGACTACAATTACGAGGCTGTTCTTTCTGCCGTGATCATTTATCAACGGTTTATACCTCATTCTTGAACACCGGCTGCGCGGAATTGTGTTCGGGGGAGGCGAAACGCGTCACGAAAGACAGATCTTCCGGTTTTTTCCTCCGTTCCAACAACGTGAGATACTTTATATCAGACGTGCACGGCTTGTAAAGATATAGACTCGCCGAAGATCATTTCGCGAAGTCTTCCCCCGAACTGATAATTTCGTCAATTCGCCACTATCGGCCGCGCGACTAACGGAAATTTTTTTACGGGAATCCCCAAGCTCTCTTATATTACAAATTAAATTATCGAGAAAAAAAAGATACGATTAATAGTCATATTCGTATATAACAATATTACAGCGGAAAAAATGCATTCGGGATATATTAAATTGATTATGCATTTGGAGGACATTTGCATATCAATGCAATTCATTTTCGTCGGCCGTCCTCCTCTTCGTATGTAACTATAACGATAAAATAAATCTGCTGACTTTTACAACATGACGAAATCAACATTACACCTTGAATCGCTCACGTACATCATATCGCGATCGTCCCTCGTATTAATTATAACGAGAAACTAGGTTCGTTGACTGTCAAAATGATAAATTCTTCTCACTTTAAGATTCTCTCTTTCACGAATTTATATTTTAATATCTTCTCGCATTAATGAAAAAAGATAGGTTTGTTAACTTTAATAAATCGATATGAAAGAACTTTTATATTTTAAATATTAATATATATCTAAAGATATATACTTTTTAAGTATAAATATATTTTATAGTTTTGAAGTTTCCAAACCGGCGACAAGATTATTTGTTACATGCAACATCAACCGTTTAGAAGAATAATTTAATTATAATTTGTATAGATCAATCTTTAAACAAGCTTACGACATCATTAAGTCGTTAAATCAGTCATGTAGTAAAATAATAATAGCTCAGAAGCGAAGTAAGTTGATTACGATATAGAAGTTAATACGATTCTGCATTTTTATCGGATATGCGTCCGAAAAGAGAGAATCACGGAGACATAGAGACGGAATACGAAACAACGCGAACGAAAGGGAATGAGATAGAACGGGAACTTATGCAAAGCTGGCCGCAAAATGCCTGACGTAACTTTCCTACCTAATCCTAGAGTCGTAAGACTTTGGAGAGAAGGATCCTCCCCATTCTCGCTTTTCAAGTCCGCGAACCACCTTCCGCTTTTCTGCTTATCCGTTTTTATTATTTTCGTTACGGAATGAGAAGTGTTAGTACGAAGCTGAAAGAACAGTAGGGAGAAGAGAAGAGGAGGAAGAGGGAGAAGATCGGCGATGCTGCAAGGAGCGAGAGCTAAAATATTCAATGCCGACCTTCCATCCTCTTGTGGATAATTATGCCTCTCGCGGGTATAAAGAGCTCGGTAGCTCGAAATTAAAAGCACTGGAGATAAACCAGCGCGAGAAGAGCGGCACGCGGTCGCTGGCTATTTCAATTTCCCGACACGGTCGTGCGATTCTCGACCGAGCTGATCCCTTCTCGATACCTAGCATTCTAGTAATTTTTTCCTATCAAGAGATACACTTATTTCGCATTGATTTTGTACTTTTTGCTACGATTAGCTGTGGATATGTTATCTATTAATTAGTTCTCAATAATAAATTTATGACGGTTATGATTTATACAATCTCTCGATCGTTAATCTCTTGATCGCTAGAGTTTATAATTTTTTGCGAGAGAAAATTTACTTTTTCGAGTAAAAAAATACAAGGAAACGATTTAACGTTGGGTTTATCTTGACATGAAATTCTCTCATTAGAACCGCCGTAAAAGTTACAAATGAATTTCGCGATATCGTAAATCCGACTTAAAGAAAAGAAGGAGACTAATCAGGTCATGTGCTCTTTTACACAACGAGTGAGGGAGCACCGAAAGTGTAAATTTATTTAACGCCCCTTGCATATCTTTCTTTTTAAGTGCCCGCGGGGGTGCAAAGAGGGTGGGGGATACAGCGCCAGAAAATGAGCATTATGAATTCAGGCTTCAAGGCACAATTATAACGCGGAAATATTTCATGGGCCATAAATAGCGCGTCGGACGTATGTTAAACGTACGCCGGAACTTTTGACGTAACACTAAGTTAGCGCAGCGACCATTATTTCGCAGTCCGGAGCAGAAAATGCATTATAAGTTAAGGAATTACTACTGCTACGGTAATGCGCGGGGTAGCGTAAGAATTTTTCGAGAATTCGCGCTGGCTCGCACGTGTGTGTTTCATCACGAATCGCTTTTCACACAATTTTGAAATTATCAACGAGATCTAAATCGAGTGTTAAGAATTGCTGCTTTAGCGCGAGACATAATTATCAGACACTGACTCTTATTTCTCTTCAATACGAAGGACGTGTTTCTGGGTGACATGAAGTGTGAAAGCCGGACAGCCACATACAACGCGAAATATACGACGCGGAAATACGCACCACTAGACAGTTTACTTTCGACGACGAACAATGGCTAGCTTAATAAAATGTACGGTACGTACAATTACGGATATCATTTATTTCGCGCGGGTGACAACGATGGATTACAACGGCAACCGCAATTTAGATTCTTTGCTACTGCGATCTCGGTGAGACTCGCCGCGCGGGATAGATTTATTTCCCGCTTTAAGCGCCTAAAAGCCCCTTCCCGGATGCAGATAGGGACGTTGAATGAATTAATCCATACCACATTTGGGTGGTTGTAAGAGTGTTTAAACGGGGGCGGGAGCCCCGGGGGCGGCGGTGGATGGAGGCCCGCTTGTACAGCAACCGTTGTTTAAATCGTAAGCCGAGCTTAAATTGTCTGCCATCCAATCCTAGGTTTGCGCTTGACTCAAGTTGCAGGCAGGTATAACTCGGCGTTATAACCGGCAGGAAGCATTATGGCCACCATTGTTCACTAATATCCCGCTTCCCGTGTTACCGAAGTTGTTTCTAGGACGCTGATGACAGCTCTTGCGCCGCGCGCACGGTTGCGGGACGCAACAAGCAATAATATGTGAAAGGCCAAGCACGTTGTTTTAATAAATAGAACTCGGTTACGTATAATTGCGATTTTTAAAACATTTTAATTTGTCTTAATGAAGCGCTAAAAGTAACATGAGATATATATATATTAAATGCGATGGAAAAATTAATATCAAATGTTAAATTTGCTTAATATAAACTTTTATACTCAATCTTCTTCTAAAAAAGAAAACTCTTATAATAAAGTAAAAGTGATTGGAATTAAAAATGATTCTCACTTATTTATTCCAATTTCCGCTGATAATAGTATTAGTCAGAGAAAATACAATTTTCTCTGATCTAATTAATTATTAAAAAGCCTTTAGCTAGATAAAAATAGAAGAAATAAAGTAATGAAATGAAAAATCGTTTCTTCTTTTACATTCTCATCAATAAAAATATGTCAAATATGTGGATGTCGAATGCGGTTGTTTGAATGAAAGCTAAATCCTTCTTTGAAAAGGCAAAGTAGATAGATGTATTTGTCGATGAATCCAAGTTCGATAGCCTACTCGACTCGAAATGTTGATCTCTCTGCAAGCTTCTTCGAACTAAGAGTGAATGCAAGCAGATTCGACTTTGCGACGATGACTGACAAGACGATTTTAGACATACGCGTATGAAAGGCAGAATCGAATGTTTTTGCAATTACGAGATAATTAGGTATAATGTATGTAGTAATTGGTAATTCTTTCAATTATAGCTTTGAAACTTTTTATAACTCTTGGCAATTAAATTCATTAATATTTTTCTTTTATTTATGTTTGATAAATTAAACTCATGTTCATATTTCTATATGTAAACATATCGTCAATAAAAAATAATTTATTACAAATTGCTCATAGTTCTAAAAGGCATCTGATCTATTTTCTGCAACTTCTTTTCCAAATTTCATGCGTTCTTTGCGAAACAATCCATGTGTTTGAATTCCCAAGCACCATATAGAGCTAATGTACGCGGTTACACGCACAATAGCGCATACGGACACGACGGAACAGCCTGACATGACAGAGGACCTGCTTCTGCCACATCAAATCAAGACATCTCTCTACGCGGATCGGCGGATTATCCCTCTAGATAGGATTAAGATTCACGTAGCCGTTTGCGAGAACACAAGGGGCATGCAGATCGAGGGATATATGCCGAAACGGACACGGTTAATTATTTTCTCGCAGCGTATCCGTGTCGAGAAGCCGCGGGTTTATCGGGTAGTTAGTTGATCACCGCACCCTTGCGGTCTTTTAGCAAGTGGGGGGTTTAATTGGACGGTTCTACGAGGACGGTTTGACTTCTACATCGTTGATAATCCTCCCAGATGGCCGCGCCAAGCCCGCAAACTAAACACAGTTCAACCCGGATGGTCACTAATAGACTCGCTGCCGCCGAACACACCGCCTTTTTACGTTTCCACGCCCTCTTCTTCTCCCTCCTCTCCTATTCTTCGGCGTATTGCTTTTCCCATTCTTTTCTTCCGCTATTGCTCGGCAATTTCCATGAAAAATGTCGGAGGTGTATGGTTGC